TCACATCCTTTATTTTATTTTTATATGCTTTAATACTATGTACTCATAACATCTTTTGTTTTTACAGTGAGCAAGGCCTACTCTGCTTAAAGGACTTTCTCTTTAATAATTCAGTGGAATGAAAATAGAGGAGATGGTTTTCAGGTTCTAGTAACTGATTTTTTTTATCATTAAACATTAAGGTAGTAAACCTTGCTCTGTGGTCTAAATTTCACTCTTACTTGAGTAAGTTTTCACCCCTTGCCCATCCCCCTACCCCTCCCACACCTTTCCTGCTTGTTCTTCTGAGGTCAGCAGAATTTGAGACGGGGGCAGGACATGATTAAACTGCTTACTTTGGAAAGAAGTATGAGAGTTGTAGCTGTTTGGGATTTGATGCTTTTGAGTAGACAGTTTTAAGTGAGGAGCCTGTTCTCAGGAAATGTCTCCAACTAATGAGATTGCTACAGCAGTGGAGTGACAAAAAACATTAAGTGAAAGGAGGTAGATGCAAGAGACTATGAATCTTTGAATTGAATATGTATGAATTGTTGATTTCATTTATAATAAATGTCCAGAAAAAGGCAGATCTATAGACAGAAAGTGGATTCGTGGGGTAGGAGGTAGAATGGGATAGTCACTGTAAATAGGGACAAGAAGAGGCAATTATAAGGCTGGGGAGACAGCTTGGCAGTCTGGTAACCACAAGGACCCAGGTTCAATCTCTGGTGTCCATGCCGTGCTGGCCCCCTCAGAACCTGGTGTGCCGGCCACTGAAACCTGGCATGGTGGCTTACCCCTGCATTCCCAGCACTGTGGAGGCTGGGACCGGAGGCTCACTACGAGTCTGAGCTGCATAGAGAAACACTGTACCGAATGAATGAATGAATGAATGAATGAATGAATGAATACAAAAAGTATTATAGCATAATGGCAGTCGGTGAAAGTCGCAGCGTGATGGTTGCACAGCTCCATGAACTGACTAAAAATTACTGAATTATACTATTACAGAAAGAAACTTATGATTTCAGCTAGATACCCGATAGTATACGATGAGATTCTCTTTTGTTTTTGCAAGCTGAAGCATTGAGATAGGTTTGTATTATATGATTTCCTTTTTTCTCTGTCCTGTGTTACAGCTCTCTATCCTGCTTAAAAACCAAGATGATCTCGATAAAGCAGTTGACATTTTGGACAGAAGCTCAAGCATGAAAAGCCTCAGGATATTGCTGCTGTCCCAGGACAGAAACGATGTAAGTAGTTGCTGTTGTGGGCTGGCAGCCCAAGACAGAGCTGCTTCCTTCAGGCCTGCCTTGCTTGCTCTCAGAGTTCTGGGTCCCTCGGCCACTGCCAGAGCGAGGGCCTAGTTGCAGCCCAGAATGCTGTTGGTGGCCAGCATTTACTTTCATTCTGCATTTGATTTCACTGAAAGCAAGATGTCAGTGTCAAAGTTACCACTAATGATTATTTGTCTAGTAGTGTGGGAGGAAGGAAAGCACTTTATGATAAAGGAGAAATTATTTTTCTCTATATTTATCTTGTTATATTTTGACCACACCAAGAAAGGTTTGATTAGTGCTACGGTGCTGTTCAGCAGAGGCTGTCAAGGACAGGAGGCTGTCATGCTTCGGGAACCCGACTCCTGGAACCGAGCAGCCTTGCTTTGCCTTTGAGACATGTGGGGAAGACAGATTTTTCTTTCTAGTTTAGGAAAAAAAAAAAAAAAGGTCATGGGCTGAAAGAGGCTGTCTTGGCAAAGGCAAGCCATCTGTGGGAGCCGTAAAAGAGTGGGAATTATCTCTAATACAATTCCTCTGCTTGGGTGGTCCCTGGAGGTCTACTTTTCACAAGAATTGGGCTGGGGAGATAGCTCGGTAGAACAAGCGCTTGCCTGGCAAGCGCAAGGGCCTGAGTTCAGTCCCTGTTTCCACCAAAAAAATAAAAGAATACTTGCAGTCTGAGTTTACTAGGTTTTTGTTTTTGTTTCTTTTTTTTTTTGATGTAGGGTTTTGCCATGTAGTTCAGGCTGACCTTGAACTCATAGAGATCTTCCTGCCTCGGCCTTCTGAGTGCTGGGGCTGCAGGCATGAACTACTATGGCTGACTAAATCTGTCTTTAATCACTAGTTCCCATACCAGTTTTCTTCAGACATGTGTTTCTGTAGGTCTCTTAGCATGCTGTGTACATGTTGATCAGAGGCGTTAACTGTCCACAGCTGACACGGCTGCACGAGAACACCAGGAAAGCTCCTAGGTGGAGTGCCACTCATGCTGGTCATTTATTTTCTGAAGAGACTTGAGGGCTGGGCTGTCATTTGGTTTCTCTGTTTAAATGACTCACCTGCTCCATGTAACCCTTTCTGCCTATCATGCCAAATTTAATCCAGCATCCACGGCTCACCACTGACTGCTGCCGCTTCGGCCCCCCGTCTTTCCACAGTCCTCAGCAACCCCCTTGTCCTTCTAATCTTTAACACGCCCCTTCTCATCTTTCACGTGTTCAGCACGCCCCCTCTGCTCTGAAGCCCGTGGTCTTCCTCTCTGCTAGTCCATGGTTATCACCTTTTCTTAGGATCTTTTATTTACTACAGTTTGTTCAACATTTTTAATATGCTCAACATTTTTGAGTGAGGCCATTTTGATTATTTCTTATTCTGTCAGTCATTGGATGTAGTTTGTACTCTACTTTGTAAGTTGTACAGTAATCCTTCTGGTTGCATATTTGTAATCCTCCAAAGGATTATAAGCTCCCTGCCAAACAGGAGCTAGATCATTGTGTTGGAGCCCCTTCTCCACTCAGGCACTAAATAAAGCTAGTGAGCGCTTCCTGGATTGTTGACAAGAGTCATGCAGAGATCATTTGCAACAACTTCTTTGAGCAAGAAACTGGAATTGGAGTTGGGTCTGATGATTACTGGACGGGGAGCTGTCACTCTGATGTGATTGTGATCCTGGCAGTCTACTTTTCTAATGAGAAATTACAGACAGCTGGTTTGTTATGCCAGCGTTGCAGTCCTGGAAGTACACAGGCTGCAGGTGTTGCTGCAGTGCTCAGAGCTGTTTGAAGTATGTCCGTCTGAGCTTTGCGCAGTGGCAGTGTCGTAGCCAATGAGGTTTATCCGAGGCGCGATTATTGCTAACTGAAATATGTCCATTGAGGTCGGACACGCATGGCAGTGCAGGAGTCAAATGCCACACTGATGCCTCTCTTTCTAAGTGGCTATATTTTAATCGCTTATAATAGAGTCAGTATAAGTTTGAAAAAAACCAAAAAAACAAGAGGGCTGGGGCTGGGGAGATGGCTCAGTAGAATAAGCACTTCCCCAGCAAGTGCAAGGGTCTGAGTTCAATCCCCAGTTCTGCCAAAAAAAAAAAAAAAAAAACAAGAGGGCTATCTTACATAATCCTATTACTGTAACACATTTATTGATATATTTTTACATATACCTTTCTAGTCTTTGGTCATATTGAATATGCACCTCATGTAAATGTTTTCCTGCCATTCATGTAATTTTCTAATTTATGTTTTCACTTAACATTGTCATTAAACAGGCATAGTGCTGTAGCCTGTACATCCAGCTGTGCAGAAGGCTGGAGCACGAGGACGACAAATTCAGGCTGGCCTGGGCCACTTCCTGAGCGCCTGCCTCAAAATGATAGACAAAAGGCCTGGCAGCGCAGCTCTGTGATGGAGCACTTCCCTCCAAAGTACCACACAAACCTCTTCTATGTAAATACATCTTCATCACCATGATTTATATAGAGGCATAATTCCCTTGATTTTTTTTTTTTTTCCTGTGTTTTGTTATCTATTCTAGGCTGGCTTTGAACACTGTGTAGCTTAAACTGGCCTCAAACTCATGGTAGTCCTCCTGCCTCAACCTCCCAAGTGCTGAAACTACATGTATGTACTACTGTACCTCTATTCAGAATTCATTAAATAACCATATTTTGCTACTGTTGGTACACTTAAAACTACTTCCATTTTTGCATTGGTAAATATTTACATTTAGGCTGGGAGTGTAGCTCTGGGGTACTTGCCTAACGTGTATGAAGCCCTGTGTTCAAGCCCAGTGTAGACAAAAATTTGCATTTAAGACTAATGGTAGCAAAAATATCTTACCTTCCTCAGCTAGATTACAAACTTTTTTTTTTTTAAGACAGGGTCTTGGTTTGAGGCGTAAGCTGTTGAACTCACTATATAAAGAGTGGCCTCGAATTCCTGATCCTCCTGCCTCTGCCCCCCCAAGTACTGGAATTAGAGACGTGCACCACCATCCCTGGCATAGACAGGCTTCAAAATACAGAGGAGAATCATAATGGAAAAAAAAAATGCAGTGTGCTCTGGAGTCCTCACTGATAGAATAGTGCTTCTCTAACTGGGTAAAATACCAGTTTTGTTCTTTTAATTTCCAATCTATCATGGGCCAGTTTTTTAAAAAAATTTTTTTGAAGTCCATACAAATACTGAGAAGTGAAATGGAAGAGTAAACTAAACTCTTACAATAGCCCGCAGTTTTATTTATTTATTTATTTTTTTCTTCCTCAAATGCCTTCAGGGCACTTTTGGCCAGTGGGAGAGTTGTGAGGTTCGAACTCCAGGAATCTGAGGCTGACAGCTTTGTGGAAGCAGCCACTTAAAGGACTGAGCTAGGGCCAGGCCCCTAGCCCGCAGTTTTAATTGTTGGAATCAGTAGACATAAAGCTGCTCTGCCAAGCTACTGTGACGCCTTTCAAGAGCTACTTCTCCGTTTCTGTGCTTCGCTGGGGAGGACCCGCACACACGGACAGGCTGCGGCCTGCCCCGTCCCAGAGATTGCGCAGAAGCGCCGCTCCCGGTGCCAGACTCCAGGGCTGCAGCTCCTCTGCGTGAGCTGTTTCTCTGCTTCAGCTAATTGCCCCATCTGAATTTTGTAACCCACTATTCTTTTCCTTCTTATTCCTGTTTTTTGAGACTGGATCTTGCTGTACAGGTCAAGCTGGCCATGAACTCAGTATGTAGTTGAGGCTAGCCTCAAACTCATGGCGATTTTACTGCTTTAGCCTCCTGAATCCTGGGATTATAGGCGTGTTCCACCACACCTGGCTTATTCCTGCTACTAAACATGCTATCTCTTTCTTTTTTGGATTCTTTTTCTCCTGGTCTTTCTAGTCTTTCTTCTGTCTTTATCCCTCAACCCTGGTGTAGTAGTCATCCTCCTACTGCATGGCTAAAGTCATTGTCTTAGACTTCAGTGTTGCTCCTATCCGGAGACTCCTGGATTTGTTAACCACAGAACTGCATCTGTGAAGAGTCTCTCTAGCCTTGGTCTTTATTGTCATTTTAAGACAGTCTTCTACTAATCTTCACTGTCTACAAATCTTAACTTGCCCCCCCATTACCCCCTCACACTTAAAGACCTCTTTAAACATACATGCATAAATTTAATTTTTAAATTTTCTTTTCTTTTCTTTTTGTGAAACTGGGGATTGAACTCAGATCCTTGCGCTTGCCAGAGAAGTGCTTATTCCACTGAGCCATCTCCCCAGCCCTCTTAAGTTTTCTGTTCTTCACCTTCTTACAATTTATAATCTCAAACTTAACATTCTTTTGTCACTTGTTTCCTAATATGATTAAAACTAAACAAGCACCCAGCCATTTTATTTTGTTACCTCAGATTCTTTCTGACAAAAGGAAACTGCTGATGTTTTCATCCAAATGTTGCCCTCTTCTCAACTTTCCCATCAGTTTACCTACTATTTAAGTTCAAATTGTTAAGGATCATCTAAAGGATAATTCTTCACTGTCTTCCTAAACTGATTGGACAGAGTACTCTCTGTCTGGTCCACGTTCAGCACCTTACTTGTTAGAGGTGACCGCCGTCATCTCTCAGCCATTCTTACCACTCTGAGGAGCTCAGGACAGGCATCTGCTGCTTCCAGTGTACGCTGGGAAATTGAGAAGAGCGGCTTCCCAGTCAAGGCAGTGTGTGTGGAGGCCGTTCGCTGTGTACCAGTTACCACCCAGAAAAGTGACCCTAAAATTACCTTAATCCTAAAGAAACCTTGCCAATGCCAAGACCCCTTGATAGTTGGGTAACATTAGAACAAATGTACAATGTTGTCCATGACGAAAAGTTCTAAGCTGTATTCTAGTTTCTGTGACACCAAAAAAAAAAAAAAACCGATCTAGGAAAAGTCCTGAGGAAGATGAAAGTTTCAAGGGGTTGGGGGTCACTTTTTAAAAAAATCATTCATTCATTCATTCATTTAGTACCATGTCACTGCTCAGCCCAGACTCTTAGTGATCCTCCTATCTCAGCCTTTCCAGCCCTGGGATTACAGGTGTGCACCATCACACCTGATCTTGGTAGCCAGCTTGGTGTTCCTGGAATTCCAGGGCCAGCAAGGTGTGCAGTACTGGGGACAGAACCCGCGTCCTTGTGCTTGCCTAGGCAGGCACATAGACTGCTGAGCTATCTCTGCAGCCCTGGGGTGGGGAGTCATTTTTAAATGTGGATAGTATAAGGTCACAAGGCTTCAGTCAGGAAAGACAGTCTAAGCATATATGCGATCAAAGTCATCAAAACATTTCAAAGTATAAATAATGAACACTCAGATTTAATGACTAATGTCAACGTGATTGAACCCTTTGAACACTGGAATTTATCGTAGGACAAATAGAAACAAAGATTTTTGTAGCAGGTTGTAAACATGGATTTATTATTCTGTTGTGTAGCTTCAAAACAGATTTTTAAAAATGATTTTAGGGGCTGGTGAGATGACTCAGTGGTCTAAAGCACCTACTTAGAAGAAGCTTAGCAAAGCACAGGGACCGCGGT